CACCCACAAAAGGAATTAACGAAGCGAAATTAATTAATCCTTTACCTCCAACTTCTTTACTAAGCAATTTCATTGCAACGCGTTTATTTATAGATCTTAAGGCAGATGCGGGAATTTGATCCACTACCATTTTACGCATGATTATCATTGCTAATTCCTTGGCTGTTTCTGCAATCGAGCTTTTAACCCCATCCGAGACGATACACAAATAAATCAATGTCCGAACTGCATCATCTGCTGTATCTAATCCAGCTAACGAAGCAATTGATTTCACCATATGTAATTGAATCGCTAATGTACTAATAATATCTATCAAGACGTCGGTTTTCAATCCTCTAGAAACATGTATGATAACTGCTGATGATAATCCGGATGATAATGAATTATAAAATATAGATCTATCTGCGTACCTATGAAAACTTGTATTTGTTGTTGAACAAACCGAATGTAAAATATAATTATCAACTGTTTGAACAGATCTTATAGCAAACGAACTTAGAATGGTTTGAAGTGGTGCATAACGTGGCACATTAGGCGAAAAATCCTCTTCTGTCCTAAAGTAAGGAACTTCATCAACCGAATCATAAATGTTATCTAAAATTAATAATATTTTCTCGACTTCTATTTGTTTATCTGCTGTTGTAAAGAATTGTGGTTGTTCCTCCATATTTTGAAATGAGATTTGTGAAGGTTTCTTTTTATATCTCATGGGATTGGCGAGACTTTTTGCTGATTCCGGAGGTGATAGTTCGTCAACACTGTATACTAACGACGCATTTCCTCGTAAACATGTCTGTGCAATCCCTTTTGTCCAATCGTTTAATTCTTTTATTGTTAAACTATCAATGGGTATATCTTCTTCAAGGAATTTATCAGTTGGTAATTTGGACATGACTTTTTCCCATAATGACGGTGTATCTATTTGACCTTCTGCTACGATTAAAACGCAAACATAATAAAGCATAAAATAGAAAATTAAAAAACTAAAAAATGGTGATTGTACAAACAACTTCATTGTTAAGAATGAAAGTGTAAAAACTTTTTTTTTGAAGCAAAAAAGTATCTCATTTATAATGATTATCAAGATGCAAGTTGTAAAATCAGTGATGCTCTATAGGTGAGGCGGAGAATTGAAATTTAAGGTGTTTTCTAGGAAATAACAAACAAATAAAAAAAAACTATATAATAGTTGTTTTTATTTTTATCTTCCGTAATTGGCTTTTTAAGGTAGATGTCACAAGATTATGTTTAATTCAACACTTTTTGATATGATTGGTAAATTTTATATAAAATATAAAAAAAATGTAGATTAAAAAATAAGAATATAAAGTAATTTAAAAATCTTTATTTAAAAATGATTTGAATTATGAATTATTTTGTTTTAACAAATAAATTTTTTTTATATATATGATAATTAATAACTAATATAATTTTCTTTTGCTCACTTTAATATTATAACATTGGTTCTTTAAAGAAGGTGTAATAAATTGAACAAAATTTAATTTTTGATCTGACATATCTTCCAATTTATATCTTTGTAATAAAGTTGCTATAATAATTCTTATTTCAAGCCATGCAAAACTATATGAAATAATATACAGTGATAAACTTTTAGCAATTATTGTTAAAAAAATAAAATCGATTATTTAAAGTTAAATAAAAAACCTACTTTATTCCAATACAATTCCTTGATCCTATTTATAATTAAAAAAAGAATATAAAGTTAAAAATGATTTAGATTTATTTTTTTCTTAATATTTTAAATATTAATATCAACTTACCAGCAGAAAATGGAAAAAAAGCATTTTTTGGTAATTTATCTAAATCTAACCATCTCTCAGGAATCCATTTTTCGGCATTTTCTCCCCAATATTCTTTTGAATAATGTATGGCATAAATATTCAAATTTACACAGGTCTAAAGTATAATCTACTAAGTTAAAATATTCTTATGAAAATTACTCATCTGAAGGTTATAGACAAATTACAAACCCCTTTAGGAATAAAATATCCACACATAATCGAATCTTTTGTAAGTTGTTTACTAACACCTATAATATATTAATTTGTTAGTAAGAAAAAGTATTAATAACGAAAACTTATAAATTTTTATTTTTATTTTTTACTTAACCAACATCTATTATGAAAAAAAAGGAAAGGAAAAATTTAGTAAAGATCATAATAAGAGAAAGAATAATAACAATTAAAGTTCACCTACCCATCATAATAGGATATAATCTTAAAGTTTCATTAATAACAGCCGTTAAATATGGTAAATGTTTTATTTCATCATTTAATGGAAACTCTCCATTACTATTAATTAAAGCGGCATCCAATTCTTTTATTAATTTCTCCATTGATTCGGGATGACGTAATAATTCAATTATTGTCATCGTTATGATATAACTCCCAGAATCAGTTCCTGCAAAGCTTTTTAAAACATTAAATTCAATAGGGATTCTTTTTTTTTTAAAAAAAAAAATAACAGATCACCTTTAATTAACCAACATACATGAATTCTAACATCTGTTCACAAATTTCTATTTGTTCCATTCCTCCTTTAACATCATCAATTGAATCCAGCATGATTTGCAATAAATCATTCTTCTTTATTTCCGAATTTTTCCTTTTATTTATCATTTTAATTGAAAACTTTACAAGAAATTTAAGTTAAATAGATGTTAATAGATTCAAGACACATGAAAATCAAAAAAGACTTACTTCATCGATAAAAGGATCCATCTTTAAAAATAACTTTAGAGCCGGAAATGTGCTGCACTGGATAAATTTTTATTTTTATAAGTTAAAATGCTAACAATTTTTTTTTTGTTTAAAAAAAAAAGGAGTCGTCTTTTTATCTTATATACTTACTAAAACTCTTCTAACCAATTCTCGAAAAGTTAGTCTAGGTAAGGGATGATTCCCATTTTTTACTATACTAAATGACTCTCCAAAAGCAGTTTCTCCTATAATATCCATTGCTGTATTCCTGATTAATTCATAAATATTAACAATAGCGCCATGAATTTTTTTATCGTTATCAATAGATTCGTCAAGTTTTGTAGTTAAATCTCTTAAACAAGATTGCATCAGTGGTTCTAACGATGCAAGGTATTTTAAAGAGAATGCCGGTGTGAGAATTCGTCTCTAAATTTATGATCAAAAAGGTTATTTTTTTTTTTTTTTTAAAAAAAAAAACTACATAAAAGAAATTTGAAGCTTACACGTTTTTTATGAAATGATACATCCCTATAATCCGAATCGAAAGAATAATTAGATAAAATAAATTTCTAAATGACATTCCATTAAATTACCAACCTTGTAACGAATAATGAAACTCGAGCATCTTCCACTCTAAGTGTATCATAGTTTTCGCTCTTTGGCATTTCCTAAAATCAAATTAAAAATGATAATCAATTTTAGGAAGTAAATTGGCTAAAAAAAAAAAAATAACTCGGAAAGCTTACATCCGTAACCAACATCTAAATGATTGCAAAACATCGATTATTAGTTTAAAAGAGATTTTTAGATGATAAATGCTAAGAAAGTTAAAAATGTTTATTCAATCCCTACTTGTTTGATCACTTCTTTATCGGACACAATAATGTTCTTGGGTCCTATTTTTATTTAAAATAATTTTTAGAAAAAAAATTTTACTTTAAAAAAAAAAAATGAAATAACTGCGCCAACTTAATAACAAAATCATCATTTTACCTATTCTAACGATTTTTCCATACTTTGGCTGCAAGTAATGTTGCATGTATTTCCATCTATTAAACGTTTAAAAGATTAAAATTAACAGTCTTAAAGAATCGAACCTCTGTAAACCTTTATAACTAAATATACCTTTCACCACTGATTTGTTTATATCTTAAAAAAATTTTAGAAAAGGCGAAATGAATTGGCCCAGGAACTTTACTAAGTGGTGAAAAGAAAACTAAGTTCAAAGTCTTTTGTAGTTTCAATGAGAAAGCAAAAATAATTTTATGAGCAAACGTTATGATATAAATTCATAAAAATTACATTGCACCGTACATACTTTACTGATTCGAATCAATATATATATTATAATCCATATTTTCGCAAATTCATATAAGATTGTAAAACTCATCTTTATTATATAAAAAATTATTATTTTTTAATTGTTTTAAAAATTAACGAAAGTTACAATTCAACAAATATTTCTTAATATATATAACTGTTTACATGAACAAAACCGTTTCGTTCTAGATTAAACTTCCTCAACTCATTTCTAAACGCAGTGTAGTTTTAAATTTGTCACGAGCTTTAAAAACATTTCTCTTACCATTGTTCAACGGTAAAAAAAAGATCGACTTTGGACCGCGAAATTTGTTTAATTAAAATTGAAATTAATTTAATATGAAATAAAATAAATGAACGTATTTAAAATCAAAATGAAAAGGAGCTAAAATAGTTCAAGATCAGCATTTACAGATTAGATTAAGGGTTGCCAATCGAGATCGTGGTACTCTGCAGCAAAAAGTTTTTCCTTTGACTTCCAACGAATAAAGTAAATGAGAATCCAAACGAGGCTTTTATTTCATCCGGAACAATAAAATGGTTCGAAAGAAATGTTTAATGCCATCATCGATCTAGACATAATATTAATTAACTTTATTTAGTTCGATGATTTTCCTTATTCCTGCTATTTCTGGTTGTTCCATTAATGAAAAAAATTCCCGAAATGCGTTTATTCGTCGATGAAAATTTTTCACCCGGGATTCCAAGTGTTTTCCTATTGTATAAATTTTAGGTAGTTTTTCATTTCCGAGTTCATTGATTTGAAATTTTTGTCAAAATATTTAGATATGTGGATGAAATTTTTAATGATTTTGTAAGGTTAATATATTAAATTACTATTTTACAAGTGTTTTTTTTCTTTTTTTTTGTTTTGTGTGAAAAATAAATACAAATATACACATCTATAAAATAGATACAAAGAAATGTTCTAATTCGATAAATATACCATGAAAAATTATTTTATACTTCATGTTCAATAATTTCTTGATCTTCCCATTCACGTCTTCCGCTTATGGAAACAACCTTGGCTTTTACCAAATCTTTTACCCACTGTAATTGTCTCATGGTTCTACGTCTATGTACTCTATTAATTCTTCTTTCCATTCCCGTTTCAGATTCATAAGTTTCACCACTTGGTATGGATCTTTCTTTATACATATTTGTAGCTTGCCTTCTTTGTTCACGTTCTCTTTTTTGTTGCTCTTCAATATCCTCCATCGTGCAGAAAGGATTTTGGTACAAGATACTTGCATTGGCTCCTGTTAAACTACGTTTAACATCTTTTTCATGCGCTAATGATAATCCTGGTCTGAAATATACTTTAAACTTTAAATATCCTTTAATTTTATAAGAATCTAAATTATTTGCAAGATTTTCTGTTGTGGTAGATGATTCTTGTGAACTTTTAGGAGAAACTTCTGATAACAATGCCTCCTCTGGGATGTTAGCCGCTGGAGTATTACCAAATGATTTTACGGATTGCTTATTTTTGCTATGTTGCGACGTTGAGACATCAGAATCGGCTGCACTATTATTCAGAGGCATATCGTCATTGCTTCCGTTAGATTGAGTGATATTTGACAACTTGCCAACATTTGATTTAGTAAAATCCAAGTCATTATTATACTTTTGTATTTCGTTATGAGTCTTTTGTGATGATGATTCACCAAATTTTTCAGGCGGAATCGCGTTTGTTGAATTCACAATTGATGGTAATTTCTCAGTTGCTCTCTCTGACGATTTTGATAACTCTTTTTCCAAATTAGCCTCCTTAATGTTTAATGAAGTAGGTGATTCACATGTAGGTATGGAAAGCTCATTATCAAACCTTTGATCGGATCCAGTTACATCTAAAGTAGGAAAATATTTGGGTAAACTCTCAAACATAGGTATTTCTACTTCTGTCTCACGACAATCTTTAATGTTTCTTAACCAATATTCCACTGTGCCCACGGTATGATAAATTCCAAATATTCCTTTATATCTAAGTGTAATTTTAAGTGAAGTTCTGTATCGACGAAATACTGCGAATTCCATACGATTTTTCGTGTCATTTATTGATCGTGGTTCGAGCCATGTGGGTGGAAATTCGTTGGTCACCTCAGTATCTTGTTCGATTTCTGTATTGGTTAAGGTTAACGTCAAGTAAATACTTCGATCTAGAAAAAAAAAAAATTATAAATAAAGTTAGTATACGTCAATAAAGTATTATTACTGATCACGTCAACTTACTTGCATAATACTCATCTAACCCTTCGGCGGTAATAGAATTAATAAGCAATGTTCCAACATCATATCCTCTATCTTCAGGGGGTAATCTCATACTTACTGTTTTGAAGAGGAAACTTAGACGTACTTTTCCACAACCAACGCCATGACGCAATGCGTACCATTTGATTGCTGCTTTCTATTTTTTTTTTTTTTAAAAAAAAAATAAATAAATAAAAATATTTTAACGTTAGGAAAGGAACTAATTAATTGACATATTAACGCTTACCTTTTCTTTTTGCTCAAATAATTCTTTCAAAGGTAATGTGACCATTCCAATGACTGGATCATACTCGAGATCTTTTTGGTCCTTAATTACTACTCTTACTATTGCAGTTTTCCAATCTTTTACGAATTGTTCCGTTGACGCATTCCAGAATGGAGCAACACTGAGTTTGAAAGATAAAAAAAATTAAGTAAAGCAATAATATAATATCGAATATATGTGAATTTCAACTTACTTGTTTAATTTTGCTCTCGTACGAAATACTATTATCATAATAATGATTTTCATTAAAAACGAAAATTGGAAAAAGAATTAAAAAGAAAAAGATTAAATGAATTAATCATACCTCGACTGTCATTAAGATAAACAACAGCATATGGGTTAGGATAGGACGTGTTATAATAATTATCTGACATTGTTATTCCCGATTCTTCAATATATGGCGCAGTTGTTATCTGCAAATTCATAGCCTGATGGATTTTCAAGCAAAAGATTCCGGCTTCAAAAGATAAAAAATAAAATAAGATTTTCGTTTCTTAGGGATTAAGGTAAAAATTAAAAATAAAATTTATCCTTACATGTTTGATCAGGTTGCGCTTCAATTTGATTCGATAATTTTGGAAAATATTCGAGACGGAAACGAAGTTCACCTTGTGAAGCTGTATCTTTTGGTTGAAGTTTAAGTTTTTCCCATCTATAATATATATATATTAATATTTATTTCATGAAAAATTGATACAATTTTTTTTTAAAAACATACCCTTCATGAATTAATGTCTCATCTTTTCCATTGCCAATTGCGTCTTTAATATCAATCCATATTGACCCAATATGATCATCAGTTGTGAATCTATCCCAGTCCATAACGCAAAGCTTGAATTTGATATGTTCATCTACAATATCGAGTTCTGGTATTTTATGGAAGAATGTTTCGCTCCACACTGGATTTGCGCAGTTCTCAACTACTCGTGTATTAGAATGCGTGTGCATGTAAGGCGAAGGGTCCATAGATGATATTACATATGGATCATTATCGCCTTGAATAATTATTTTTTTTTAAAAAATAAAATAAAATAGAAGAAATAGTTGTGAAAAAAAAATAAATAAATAAAAGTTTTTTAAAAAGGTACTTTTTATATATTATATATATCTTTTTTCTGTGTAGATTCTTACCAGACACATCAACTTTTGTTAGATTTCTTGCCTCAAATATATCGACCTTCATTATTCCAATAGCTTGTGAATCTATAAAATCATCAAAGAATTATAAAAAATAAATGGAATATGGAAATAGAAATTATTTTTCATTTTTTTTTTTTTTTTTTTTTTTTAATACGTTACCATGTAAAAGATCGTCTCCAGTAAGCAATTGTTCCAAGTCCAAATCGAAGAAGTTTGGAGACGTGAATTGTTCCATGACGGATTGCATTGCATTGCGAATGAATTGTTTTATAATGGGAAACTTTTTTTTTTTTTAAAAAAAAAAAACATTAATTATAAGGTCTTTAAAATCGACTTCATTTATTTCATTTCTAATTTAAAATACCTGTGCGATGTTCATAGGTATCAAAGGCATAATGCTCGTCTCATATAATGGAAAGTTGAGAAAACTAAATCTCCCAGTTGAAATGAATGGTGAAGTACCAGTAACTTTGATCTCAAAATGAATTGAAGCTTTAAAACCTATCAATTCGACCTTTATAGGGATTATTGCTGAAATTCCAGTTTTGATCCATGCTAAAATATGTGGTGGGGCATCGTTACGGTTCATGGTAGAAGAACGTGCACGAAAAGAAAATGTGGCCTCCCCAACCTAAAATGTAAAAATTATGATTAATTTGTCGACCCTCAGAATAAAATATTCTCAACTTCGTTTGACTTTAACTTACTATTACGTCGTCGTCATCCTGATTCTCGCGTCGTGGCAGAATTTTAATACTTTTTTAATATTTCAAAGGAAAGAATTTAATTTATGCAATAAATAGTAATATAATAATAGTAATAATAATAATAATAATAAACCCACTTTTCAATGCGAGGGGCGATAAGACCGATTTCAATTTCAATATCCGTTGCGCACTGCGTCGCAAAGAAGGTTTAAATTTATCAAAAATTTTTCAATAACAATAATAATAAATATTAATACATACGACAAAAGAAGGTGCGCTACGAGACATCGCGTCTTCAAACATGTCTCGAAGTCCTATCAAAAGGGATGGATCAAATGTTCTCCATATTTGTTGAAGCAAATAATTCAGCCTAAATAATAATCGAATTTGTATTTGTAATTCATAAATCTGAAGCATTCGAATTAAGTTAATTTATAATATTTTATAATTACCATTCGACAGTTTCCCCATTATCTCGTCTCAACTTCAATTTTAATTTATTTAAAATTTAATTTATTTTTTTTTAAAAAAATAAAAATTATGTTTTTTGATTATGCAAATTACCTTATCCATCGCCATTTCTTTTGTGACCTCCCAACGCACTCGCTCTTTATTATCCTTAACCGTATTAAGAAACCATATTGTGGACTGATATAATATCAACGTAATCCAAAAGAAAGCGAAACCGAAATATCCTATGGCGTAAGAAACGATCGAAACTATAATGAACAGTAAAACGATTTCATTATCAGAACGTTGGTCATTCTGTGACGATTCTTGCTGCGGCACATTTTGAATAATTTGATCCTGGGACATTTTATCGTTATTACTTAATGCGAGTCTCGTGACACAATCACAAGTATGTGCTTCAGGTTTGTCGTAAATGCTACTTTCAAAAGCGTCTTGAAGGTCAAAGTGAGAAACGAACAATGTTCGTTCCGAATCATTTGATTTACGATGCGTTCGTTCTACAAAAGTCGGCATTTCAAATTGTTTGATTTCATTAATTGATTCGATGGGATAATGGACATGTTTGTCCCGTGAAGATTTAACATCATTATCATGGCATTGAGATTGTGACGTCATTTTGACATGCAGATGTCACTTTAAATTATTTGTTGTTGTTGTTGTTATTGTTGTTGTTTTTACAATTTATATCTTTTTAGAAATAAATAATTTTTCTTAAACGATTTCAAAAAAAAAAAAAAAAGGAAGGGAAAAGAAAAAATGAATGAACAGGGCAATAAATATCAAGGTAAGTTAAATAAGTAATACAACATCATTTTGGCGTAGACGATCGAATTTAATAGAAATCAGCCAATCAACAACAAGAAATTTATTATGACACAAAGTCTCTAGACTAATTATAAAAAACTATACGCCAAAAGAGCTTTGGGATCACCTTTGTTTTACCTACCCCCTTATGCAGAACTTGAGATTATCTACAAGTTTTGTAGTTTTCTCGATAATTTTGAAAATTTAATGTTCAAAAATTTACCCTTAAAAGTAAATTCTAAATAGGAACAAAATCCGTTGAAAACACTTTGATTATTAACGAAGAATGTGATGAATAGAATTGCATTAAGAAATACAAATTGAGGTTTCAAAATGAAACTATGAGGTTTGTAAATTGGATGCCCTTAATCAAATTGAGTGTTACATGAAAGTTAAAGGAGTGAGTTATCTTTGAATTCTTTTTTTTTTTTTTTTTTTTCATCTTTTGTTTAAACATTTTCGTTTAATCATCTTTAATTTTTTTATATGAGGGAATTTCTATTGTCCAATTAGAATTATCAATTTCATGTTTGACATTAACTATTTCGGCGATTTTAAATAAGACCGACATTAGTTCATAAGCTTGCTTACAGTTGATTTGCTTGTAATATTTGTAAAAAATGATTTATTCGTGTAGGTGTTCGTAAGTGCATTCCAATAAATTTCAATACGCGTTTACAACATTGTTCCATTTTATTTTTAAGACCCATATGGTAATCATACGAGCGATTAAAATTAACAAAATTATGCTACAAAACTTTTTCAATCTTCTATCGCATTCTGCATGAACTTGCTGTCTCCTACTTTGCAATTTTTTCTAGTACCTTGTTAATTATGTGAGGTTTCGATTAAATTCAAATGTAGCTAATTAGTACTAAAATGATGTATCACAACTATATTTCGCACTTTTGATTGGTCATGTGATACACACATTTAAAGCAATGATTGGTTTTGGCATGCATGCACGCACAATTAATGAAATTAAGCATAATTGCATTAAGCTTCAAAAAAAAAAAAAAAAAAAAAATAAATTTTTTTTTTATATTATTTAAAATCATGAACGGCTTTTGAAGAAAATAAGTTTCATTCCTTTCCAATATAAAGTTAAAATTATTTTGATCTAAACTCTATTTAGTATCTAAAGGCACATATATCATTGATTCATCCGATCTATAAAAAAAATTTTATCCAAACTTTTTCACCTGTAATATCACGGAAAATAGTAAATATAATAATCAATCCGATTAATTCCCAGTGGTAGGTTAATCTTTTCAAGATTTCATTCAATATTATTATAACATTTATAAATCATTTTGATTTTTTAATTCGAGTAGATTAAATAAACATATATATATTCAATACCAATGCGGAAAACATCGACTGGAACGGCTTCTTCTCGTGGGACATCAAAGAATGTTAGTTCTACTGCCACATCCAAACCTAAAGGATCGACATCATTATCACCAAAAAAACCATCAAGAACTTCAAGATCACCATCACCTTCACCCACTGCTACGAGACCCGTGAGACAAGCAGCATCATCAGTTAGAGACGCTATCGCTCAAGCAAGATCGAAGAAAACTAATAATAAAGATGTTCAGCTAGAAGAGCAGAGTGAAGTTGGACCAAAAAGTTTGAATGTCATCGTTAAGCAAGCCAAATCTTCTGGTATGTATCCGATTTTTCTATTATTATTATTATTATTATTTTTTATTTTTTATTTTTTAATAAAATTTTTAATTAAAACTCGTTGTGTTATGTTTAGGACGTCTCAATATATCCCATCGGTCATTAACGGAAATTCCAGAGGAAGTGTGGAGAATGTATGAAGTTGATTCAAAGAGTATTAGCATCGACTTTGGTGGAAGTGCCTCCGATGTTTGGTATGAACAAGTAAACCTTATTCGTTTAGTCGCCGCCGACAATTTTATCAAAGAAATCGATAAGAGAATAATTGAATTTGATGCATTGGCTTTCATCGATGTAAGTCACATTGATAAATTAATTATAATTCATACTAGTTTTTTTTAATTATTACCTTCAATTCTTATCTAGCTTCATAATAATCATTTAACATCTCTTCCTGGTGAATTTGGCGAATTAAAAAATCTAGCGATACTTAATTTATCAACTAATAAATTTAATGAACTTCCAACCTGTTTGACTTCTCTTAAATCTTTGGTAGAATTACAGTTGGCATCAAATAATCTTTCAGGTGTATTAGACCCAACCTTTGGTAATTTATCTAAATTGGAAATTCTTGATATTTCACAAAACGAAATTACTGGATTACCACAAGAGATTTCAAATTTAAAAAACTTGAGAAAACTTTTTCTTGCAAAAAATAAATTAAGAGAACTTCCTGGTGTAGCATTAACAAGAATGACATACTTGGAGGAATTAGAAGCTAGCGAGAATCTACTAGAGATAGTTTTCAAAGATTTAAATGGGCAAGAGATTAATCTACAATCTTTAAAAAGGTAGTAATATCGTGGAAATTTTCATCGTTGTTATGAAATTTTTTTTTTTTCCGGAGAAAAACTTTAATTCATTTTCACTTCAACAGATTGGACGTTCGTCAAAACAAATTAAAAGCTTTAGATGAATCACATGATGCAACCATTTTTCATCCATCAGTTAAATTACCAAAACTTAAAGAATTACTTATCTCACTAAATCAAATTAAATCCTTGGGTCCTCTATTACATACGACATCAAATCTTGAAATTTTGGATATTGGAGATAACAAATTGTCAGAAATTCCTGAAGGATTAATTGCACTGAAATATCTCAAAAGACTGGATATAAGTAATAATGAACTAAAACATTTACCTGCCGAACTGGGCTTATTAAGTACTTTGGATGTCTTGGTATGGGAAGGAAATCCTTTGAGAAATGCTCCAAAAGGACCCAAATCCACAGCAAATTTATTAAAAACGTTAAAAGATAGACTTATTACCGTTGGTAAGCTATTCCGGTTATCATGATATAAAAAAAAAGTTATCATTCTCATCATCATTGTCATTAACTTGATCATTATTTTATTTAGATCTTGATAGTATTGAAGGACCTACAATCCCTGAAAGAACAATGTCAGGTCAACATCCTGGACGCGTAGGAGGTCGAAGATCTTCTAGCAGTGCAGGGTTAAAGACTTCAGGAGCTTTAGGGACAATTACTCAACAAGGAGTAGCATCAAAATCTTTAGACCTCTCAAAGAAAAATTTATCAAACATAGATCAGGTGGATTTGGAAGAACTTACGTTCGAACCAACAATGGTTATATTAGGATTTAACACATTTCAAGCAATTCCAATCGGATTTCAAATTTTTCAAAATACCATTACAACATTTAAATTGGATCATAATAAATTCACTTCCTTCCCAACATTTGACGATCCTTCTATAGTATTTCCAAACGTTGACACGTTGGATTTATCAGCGAATCAAATTACTCGTTTACCTGGTGAATCCGATCATACGGCATTTCCAAATTTACAAGTTTTTAATGTAAATCAAAATCGTATCGCTGAATTGCCAACCAAATTGCCTTTCCCTAAACTTACAACATTTCTTGCTACTTCGAATAATTTAACTTCAATCGTTACTTCAACCTTTGAAGGAATGGAAGTTGTGGATGTATCAAATAATAATATTGGACATTTACCTCCGGAATTAGGTAATATTCAAACCATTAAAACTTTATTAGTTGGAGGCAATTCTTTCAGAGTACCTAGATATACAATTGTTCAAAAAGGTACCGAAGCTGTAATGGAATATTTACGTGGAAGAATTCCCAGATCTTAGATAAATTTTGTAAATTTTTATTTATATTTATATTTATATTTTTTTTTTTATCATGTAATGTATTAGAGCATTATTATATTAGATATTTGTTTTTAGATCATAACTTATATATATTATATTTCCTTTGTTATTTTTACTTGAAATTGTGTAAAATTATAATTATTGTCACTGCAAATAAAATTAGGTTGGAATAGTTGGAACTTTATTTATAAATCCGACATCTTGGGTCGAATTTTAAAGATTTTAATTAAAATAATACCTTGGCAAGGAACCGTCTATTTGGTGGTATTTAACTCTTGAGAATCTGCTAGCGACATTAATTTCAAATTCATAACTTCAAATCACGGGGGTCAAAATTTTTTGATGATACAAATCTTGATTTTGGTAACATGACGGAATAGCTTGCTTTATAAAGTCGGCTATAAATTTTAGAAGTCGCGAAAAAAAATCACAAGTTTAACCTTATCTCACTTGACATTTCAAGGTATGTTAGTAGTGACTAATTTCAAAAAAAAAATAAAATAAATTCTTTGCATATATATTTTCACTATATGGGTAGTTGAAATACTTAAATTGATGTTCGCACTTTACAGCGCAATCCGTTTCTTTTTATTAGATTTTTATTTCCAAATCAAAACATTCACCATTGATTGTTATTCAAAGTAATTTATACGTTTCATTGTGAATAATTTGTAATATTTATTGATAAGATGCTTAACCAATCAATTGTTTTTTACAAATTAAAGCAATCAAAAATGTATTTATCAACTTGCCTTAATTTTTTACCTAATTTACTCCTCCGATTATCATTTTATGTCGTTCAATTCATGGAAAATTATTCAAAGCGTCTATTTACTTTAGGTGAAAATTCTTACCATTTTGTCTTGGCGGAACATTCATCAGGCGAGGTCATTCATCAGGCGAGGTTTCTTGGCATACCAAAATAGTATTAAGGTTAATAAGTTTCTACGAAATTTTAAACCTTGACGATGATGGCTTGACCAATGGAATTGATTACCAAGAATTAAGTAATGATTTATTTTGAGCAACAATGTATGACTGGTGACATTTATTGTATAACAAATATACATAAGTGAATTTTATAGGTGCATTGAATTGACGATAATGACTCCACAATTCCTGCGCTTTTTTTAGTACAATTTTATAAAGGATAAATTAAAAAAATCCAACTTGTGTTTATAATAATTCGGAATTATCGGAGATATTTACTCTAATTGGATCAAAGAAATAGTTTATTTTATTGAATGGAAACTCTTTGGCCAATGAATAATAATTCCTTATTTTAAAAGTAAAAGAATTATAATTTATGGAGGGATGATTTCTTTGGGGCGTTTTTAATTCATCCTTTTACAGTGTCAAAAAAAAAAAAAAAAAAAAAAATCTTTTTTCGTACTATTGTTATTATTTTAGATTGTTTCGAAATGTGTGGCGCACTGATCATCAATTTATCATTTTGATTTTAACTTTAATAATGTTGTACTGAACATCATACAGGTTTTTGAATGTATGTTTGCTTAAAAAAAAAAAAAGGTGGTCATGTCCAAAATTATGAGTGGTTTGTTAAAAAAAAAAAAGCTTGTTACTTTTTTCCTCTTAACTTTTTTTGATTTTTCTTTCTCATCAAACAAAAAATTCTTTTTTAATCAAGTGCCCCGTAAGCACCCCACGGTTTCCATAATTCCAATTTTCCTTTCAAGAATTCTAAAAAAATTTTATTACATTTTAGTACAAAACGGGATAATAATCATAAACCCTAACGCGATTAACCAAACACTTCAATGTTTTTTTTTTAAAAAAAAAAAATGGTGGAAAGTAACACATGCAGTCGGACCACGAAACAAATGGAAATTATCACCTAAAATATATTAATGGAAAGGATCATTCCCAGAGAACAATGATTTACTATACCAAATATGTTTAAAGAAGTTAGGAAAGAAAATCGACCCAAGTAAATCAAATGATTGTGTGATAGTTGGTTTATTTGGGTTCACAATTCAAAGAATATTTTCCCAAAAGGAAATTATTAAATAATATAAACGGTAAATCCCGTAATTTCGTTACACTCAATACATGATGTCATGACTGATGCACAATTTTCCTTTAAGAATTCTCGTATTAAGTAATAGATCGGATCAATTATTACAAATTTATTTATAATTTTTTTTTTTCTCTTATTAAAAAATAACGTCAAATTTATTTTTATTTATTTTGATAGACGTTCTTCGGATTCTCAATAATAAATATTCTAAATAGAATTTTCTTCCTTCCCATCCCCCCGTTATTGAAAATGTTTTGGTAAAATAAAAATAATATACCGATCGTTCAGACTATTTTATTTTTTATTAACATATGTTTATACAGGAATCTTTCTTTGTTGCCCCACAAAACCCGCCACACTCGTGTATCACGTCAGGTTATAAATAAATAGCTGTCATACTTTATAAAATATCTTCTGTTTTGTATAAATTAATCGCATTCTCCACTCGAAAAAAAAATTTTTTTTTTAGGGGTTCAAATTCAATTTTTTTTTTAAAGCAATCTCACGTTACATCATATATCATATATATATATAAAATATATATTTGTTCTTGCGCATACATACTTCAAATCTTTTTTTTAAAAAAATCAGCACACGTATACGTATCATCCTTTTTCTTTACTTGACGCAAAGAAAAAAGAAAAAAGAAAACCAAAGCAAAACGCGTTTAACTAAAAATTTCATTCATAATGTTCAAGAAAGTGTCATCACCGTTGGGTTTACCAAGAAGTCTCTCATTGGAGACATTTTCTTCAAATAGTAAAAAGCTAAAGAGAAGTTCCACTAAACCTTTTTCGTTCACAACTTTACCCACGTTACACTTGGATAGATTTTTCACAAACGAAGGACATCAATTGGTGACATCTTACCTTAAATTATCGCAAATACAAAATCATATTCAGAAAGGAACCTTACATAAAATAACCGAAAAGGACGTTGATGAATTATTAAAAAGTTATGGTGGTTTATCAACACCCGTATATGAAACAATATCATATCAAGAATTAAACTTATCATATAACGAATGTAAATTATTAGCAAAATTATTAAAGGCTAATCACGTTACGAAAATTCGTAAATTAAAATTATCAAAAAATCATTTAAGTGGATCTTCGGTAAAGATTATTTTTGACGCTTTACAGAAAAATTCGACGGTTAAAGTGTTAGACTTATCCTTCAATAATTTATCTGATAACGAAGCAAAATGGTTGGGAAATTTATTAAAGAAGAATGATACCATCCAAGAAATTTATTTGTCTCATAATCGTATCAAATCAGATGGTGCGAAATATTTGTCCAAGGCTTTAATGATGAATGATTCGGTCGAAAGATTAAATTTAGAATCAAATCTATTAAATGCTGAAGGTGGTATACACATATCAAAAATGTTGGAATTGAATGATACCATCAAACATATTCACTTGGGAAGTAATAATTTGAATTTTGAAGGGATTGAGGCCATTTCAAAATCAATTGAATCAAATCGATCCCTGGTTAGTTTAAGTTTGGATATAAATAATATAACCGAGGAAGGGGCGAAATCGTTGGCAACATCACTTGAGATCAATCAAACTCTAACCCACCTTTACGTACCAAGAAATAATATCGGTGATCGAGGACTTTCATACATTTGTAAATCATTGCTTAAAAATTCGGTCTTAACTTATCTTGACATCGAATATAATAATATCGGTAAGGATGATAATGTCGAAGGAATGAAATCACTTGGTGAATTATTAGAAAAAAATAAAGTCCCAAGAGCGATTAACCTTACTTATAATCCTATCGGTGATGAAGGTTGTGAACAATTATTTAAAGGTTTTCACAAGAATACCACGTTAGAATCTCTCTTACTTTCAAATTGTAACATTGGATTAAATGGGATAATAGCTATTTCCGATTCATTAAAATTAAATATTGGTTTGCAAAATCTCGCCCTTAATAAGAATTCCAATATGGGAGCTGAAGGTCATTTGGTGTTGGCCAACGCTTTAGAGAAAAATACTTCATTAAAGAGTGTACAATTGGATTATAACTTTGCCGAGTGGGAGTCGATCGGTAATTCAATACAACAATCTCTTACGCGTAATCATTTCTTACAAAAAGAAAAGTATAAAACTGCTGCTAATATCCTTAAAGCTGCAAGAATATTATTAAACCCCACTTTACAACAACAATTACCAACTTGTATGTCTTGTTCAACTTCTCCTTTTATATCTCCTATGATCTCTCCTATGATCTCTCCTATGCTCTCTCCTATCATTACTCCAATCTCGACTCCAAGAAGATTATCCATACAAACACCAGAAAAGAAATCATTTTCTAAATTACCTTTTGAATTACAAGAACATATACTTGCTTATTTAGATACGACTCACGTGCTTACAAAGCCTCAAATTCTAGAGATTATTAGTTTTGCTTTGAAAAAATCTACTTTAAATTTCACTATGGAAGAATTTTTGTCGAAAACTCTTTATGCCTATTATCCTTTAACTCCTGATGTTAGACTTTGGCCTACCGAAGCTACTGATGCTGAATTTCTTTCTTTTGAACGTTTTTAAGAAGATAAAAAAGAATTGACAGTAATTTTCATATGCCGACATTCTTATTTTTATCATAATTTGTAAATTTTTGTTGGACAATTATTATTGATATTTATATTTATTTATTCTTTCAAAAAAAAAAAAAAAAAAAGAAAAAAAAAAAGACTCGAATAACTGAAATATTCTAATTAAATTAAGATTTTTTTAAAAATAAAAAAATCAATAACGAAATAAATTATCTTAATCATCTTAACCAAAAAAAATTTTGTATTTATAATGACTAAAAAGTTTTTGTATTATAATTTATTAAAAACGATTTATATTTTTTTTCGGGTCACTCTACGTGACGTCAGCAGTTTTCATGTTTCCTGGTTCATGTTAATTTTTCCATAATGCCGGCCAAAATCACGTGAAAAATAATTTTTTTTGTGAACATTTGTGTATAGGAAATTTTCTACATAGTTTGATTTTTTTATATTACTATAATATACAATATCAAGTAATTCTTAAAATCAATTAATTATATTCATAAAATATATAAAATAAAATTAGTTTATCATCTTATTTATTTTGGTAGTTTTTTTAATATTAAAACTTTTAAGCTTATTTTTCTATTTATCTTTTTATTGAAAATTTATATTAAAATATTCTAAATATATTTGTAAAAATTTTCTAAAAGAATTTGTTTATTTATATTAATATATATAACACTAAATAAAAAAATTTTTAAGCTAAAAAAAAATATAATATAAATTTTATTATATTATATTATTAAATCTTTATAAATTTTCAATTATATTATTAAATAAAATAATTCTTAACCTAATAATTACATTTTGATAATAAAACAATACTCTTTATACTGATCTTCTCATTAAAATATTACCAATAACAAAAGATAAAGCAATTATAAAAAAAATCTGAATCTTATAACAAAAGTATTCTAAATAACTTAAAAAATAATAAAAAACCCACTATCTTATCTTCTAAAGATAATAGCAAAAATAAAAACAAAGAAAATATCACTAAAATAATAAAAAGAAAAAAAATCAAATACCGTATTCTCCCGATTTTAAGCACCACATTTTTGAAGGGAAAATCAGATCAAATCTTTAGGTGGTGCTTAAAATCGGGAGTTTTTTGTATTACTTGATTTACATGATTTACATAAATATTTGTGGCTTTTTTTTTA